TATGAGAGAGCTCTGGTGGCATAGTGCCTAAGGCATTTGACTGCTAACCAGAAGGCCGACAATTCAAACCCACCAGCCACTCCTCGGAAGGAAGATAGGGCAATCTACTTCCATAGAGATACATATATATATGTATGTGAATATATATATGTATATTCCAACATAAGATGTGGAACATTTTCATCACTTCAAAGAGCTCCCTTGTACCACTTTGCAATTAAAAAAAAAAAAAAGTCAAATAGCACAGCCCCACCCTAGCCTCAGGCACCCAAACCAAAAAAAAAAAAACACCCTACGGCCATCAAGTCAATTCTGACTCATAGTGACCCCTATTGGGTTTCCAAGGCAGTATATCTTTACTAACAGAAATAGATGGTCCCATCTTCTTTCCACAGAGCAGCTGGTGAGTTTGAACCACCAACCTTCTGGTTAGTAGTCAAATGCCTTAGGCACTGCACCAGCAGAAGTCCTCCTAAATTTAAATGTATTTTGATGTACTACCCAATCCCATTGCCATAAAGTAGATTCTGACTCTTAGCCACCCTATTGAACAGAGCAGAACGGCCCCATAGACTGCCACATTTTTCTCCTGAGGAGCAGCTGGTCACTTTAAACCATTGACCTTTCGGTTAGCAGCTGAATGCTTCAACCGCTGCACCACAAAAGCATCTTTACCTTTTGTATAAAATGTACTTAAAATCACTCTACTTTTGAAATACTGGTTGTTGGTTGGTTGGTTAGATAAAACAAGGATAAACTGCGATGCAATCAGGTTGTAAAATGTAACAAAAGTACCTCCTTCTGTGCTTAGTCCATAGAAACATTAACATATGGGAACTTTGAAGGACAAGGTAGAAAGCAAATTTGGAATATCTGCTTGTAAAATTAAAGTGCTTCACTTTCTTATTGCAATAAGGGTTTTGTTGTTGTTTTCCCACTAAAAGAGCCAATTCACTCTGGTATGAGTTATTCAAACTGATGGTTTTAAGTTTGAGCATGTATGTTATTTCATTACTAGGAGATTTTACAGAAATGATTGGCCATCCTAAGGAAAATCTGTTGGTTTTGTCAGTCCCATAAAAAGAAAGAAACAAGCACTGAAGATGGAAGAGAGTAAAACAGCAATCAAAAATGTATAGAGAAGAGGGCAAGTTACCCAGTGTCTGAAAATGTCTCTATCTCATAACACAATGCTGGCCAATACAGTGTGACATTTACTGTATGTGATTCTCAACACTAGAGATGGTTTTTCAGGGGCCCCGATATTCACAGAACTTTGATTTAAAAAAATGAATTACAAGCAGGTGATGATTTGGGAAGATAGTGAATTGATAGGAATAAAGACATTGAAATAAATATTGATGCAAAAGGAAGATAGCTCTGTGTTGTCCATCTAAATGTATAAAACATTTTTTTCCATTTTGAACTTTGTTACAGATGCTTCTCAAAGAACTTGTACTGGTACAATTGTTATTGCACTTGATGGTTCTGGCTGGGAAAGGAATGGTAATGGTGGTGGTCCTGCCACCGATTCCAATCCAATTACTGATGTTGATACCAGTACTGTACCAGGAAGTAATGAGCCTGTTGTGGGCATCACAACTGAAACAAATACACATGAAGAAAAGGACAAACCAGTCTCCCATGACCTACCAAGGCAAAATCCTGAAGATAATGTACATTTTGGTCCTGCTGGCATTGGACTACTCATCATGGGATTCTTGGTCCTAGGATGTAAGTACTTTAACAGTACTGTTTATATGTGCAAAAAAATAAAAATAAAATGTTGGGGAACAGATATGTTTTCAGATCCTTTGGTAATGTGCATTTTACACATTCTTCTTTGATACAATTATGAACAAATTCCTGTGCTTGACACTAGGTTTGTGAAAAAGTCAAACTTCTTGACCCCTTATAGTCCAGTGAAGGCCCTTGTTTCCAGTCGGTTTCAATAGAGTAAGAAAGTGCTATATTAGAGGCTGACTCAAGTGCTGTTTGAGAGAAATGTCAAATCAGAGACAGTAAGACCAGTCAGGAAAAGGCTACTAGAGAAAGTAAATTATGACTTGGATTTTAACAGATGAATGTGAGTTTATCCTGATGGGCAAAAGAAGGAGAACACATACAAGGAGAAAAAAGAAATGCAAAAACACAGAAGAGCAAGAAAGCAAAGTATTGAAATAAGAGACTTTAATGTGGAAGGAACAGAGGATGTACATGGCAGTATAGTGAAAGATGAGATTAGAAAGATAGGTGAGCCCTAGATCATGAAAGGGTTTTATGCTATGCTGTGATTGTACAGCTTAATAGAACAACAACAACAAAAAAAAAAAACTCACTGTCATCGAGTTGATTCCGATTCACAGTGACCCCTCCTTGGGAGGGGTAGTAGACTGCCCAGTCTTCCTTCCAAGAAGTGGCTGGTGGGTTTGAACCTCCAGCCTTCTGGTTAGCAGTCAAATGCCTTAGGCACTATACCACCAGGAGAGTCAAGTCAACTTGAGGTTAATCTTCAACTTCTAACCTCAATTGTCCGAGTCTTCCAAAAGGTTGTTTAACCTTACTAAACCTCAGTTTTGTCATCTATGAAATAATAAGTCTGACTTCACAACATTGCTTTGATGATGAAAAAGAAATACCACACATAGACTCATTTAGCGCAGTTTATGCTCAATAGACTAGACCTAAATGGGCTCAAATATAGTGACAATTATGAGGCTGGTGCAGGTCCAGGCCATGTTTCCTTCGGTGGTACACAGGGTCACTATGAGTCAGAGTAGGCTCAACGGCACACAACAACAACAATAGACTAGACCTAAGGCTGCCTGGATAGTACAAATGCTCAACTACTAACCCCAGGGTTGGCAGTTCAAACCCACCCAGTGGTGCTAAAAAAGAAAGCCTGGAGATCTGCTTTCATAGATTTTACCAAGAGACTCCTACGCACCAGTTTTACTCTGTAACACTTGGGTTTTATGAGTCAGAACTGACTTGGTGGCAACAGGTTTGAGGGTTTTATTGACTAGAGAATCTAGTCAAGGATATAACTGTGGGGCTTCAAGTCCAACAAATTCTCCAAGTAGTCTTTAATGTTGCCTTGGATGATGGCAGAAACTGAGGTGGAGATGGATACTGTGAGAAAGACACCACAGTCTCTGAGGAATGAGGAACGGAGTCTTAAAAGTAAGTACAAAGATTAAAATCTCACATTATAATAAATCAATGTTAAAAAAAACTAAGTTGCTTCAAGTCGACTCCAATTCATGGACACCCCATTTTCAAGATTTTTTAAATTATAAAATCTTAGTATCAGAACATACTGAACAGACAATTTAATTGAAATCCATATACAAAGATGGGTAAAGCCAGAGCACTTGCATATGAAATTTTTTTCTAACTTAATTTCTTTTATTATATGAATATGCATGAAATTTATATTTTCACTAAATTTCTTAATAAACTAGATTTTCTCTGACTTTAAATAAGGTTTTCCCCTTTTTAATCTTTTTAATGAAAAAAACAAAATAAATAAATAATCCACCAAGATTTTGGATATGCTTAAAGTTGAGGCTTTTGTCCATATTTTAAAATATATTTCAATAAACAGAAAATTTTCAGACCCAGTAATACAAATTCATTCTCATTGGCTCATAATAAGTTGAAATAATGAACACAAAAGATCTATGACAGAGGGAACAAAGTTAAAAAAAAAAAAAAAATTCTTATCTAAATGAACCAAGGCAAGAAAAATGCAAAAATAATGTTATCTCATTTTCAAAATGCAACATAAAATACATATGAGGAGAGGTAATTGTCTGATTTCCTTTTGTTTGTCCTATTGATTATCAGCCATCACTTGAATGTTTTTTAACACTCTATAAAAGTAACTTAATTACGATTATCTCTACTACGGATAATAACACAAGACTTTCATTTTGAGTTTATTTTTTATATTGATGACTGATTACTTTTGTATAGTATAATTAATACAAGACTCTCTCTCTCTCTCTCTCTCTCTATATATATATATATATATATATATTTGACTCCCTCTCTCTCTCTATATATGTATACACACACACACACACACACATACAGTCAAATTAGAGTTAAATGTATCTAGATTTAAGGCTTTCTTTCACCAGATTTTCAAGGAGGCAAAGCACATAGAATTCTTTCCTCCTCCCTTCCTTCTTTTTCCCCTCTCCCTTTCTTCCTGATTTCTAATCTTACTATCTTCCTTCCCCCATTACATCACTTCCTTTTTTCCCTTCCTTCCTTCCTCATTTCTTTTATTTACACATCTTTCCTTCATCCATCCATACGTTCAAAACCATTTTCCAACATCATATTATATAAAAGGCTCTGTGTTAGAAACTGGTAGTACATTGGTAAATAATACATATCAAAGAATAAACCAACTGATTGGCAGCAATAAGATTTTGTTGAAAGAACATGCAGTCTATAGGCATACCTCATTTCATTGTGCTTTGCCTTACTGCCCTTCACAGAAATTGTGTTTTTTACAAATTGAAGGTTTGTGGCAACCCCGTGTTAAACAAGTCTCTTGGCACCATTTTTCCAACAACATGTGTTCCCTGTGCCTCTGTGTTATATTTTGGTAATTATTGCAATATTTTGAACTTTTTCATAATGCTATTACATGATTCATAAACTACAGTATAGTGTAAACATGACTTTTATATGCACTGGGAACCCAAAAAACGTCAGGTAACTCACTTTATTTAGGTATTTTCTATCTCCAGGATATACCTGTACTTTGTTTTGGGCTCATTAAAATAAGAAACAAAACTAATAGTAAAGTTTTACATCACATATGAATCAATATATGAAATAGGAAATTTTAAGTAGAGAAGCTTATACAGAGTGTTGCCCTCTTTAAAAGAAAAAAAGAAAAAAACCTATGTATTTATGTACATAGAGAGAAAGAGAAAATAAAGACACTAAAAATTTGCACAAAACAATAAAGAACTGTTAAGCTGTGTAATGTTCCCTATTTGTGCAAAGAGATGATATCCATTTGGAGAAACATAGTAGCCTCATAGAGAATAATTGCTTATACTATGAATAAGAGTATACCATTGAAATGAAGAAAGATAAACATGCATAAAGGTGGAACATAAATTAAAGCAAAGAGGTGAGAAAACAAACATCCAAATAAATTGCTTGGCCTCTCCAGCTTTCCTTTCTCTCTCCTTTAATAAGTTCCTGGTTGATGACAGGGAAAAAGACTTATCTGTTTATATAGTATAATACTATTTGTAATTTGAATACTGTCTGCTGTTGTTAAAGGTGTGCCATCATGTCGATTTTTGTCTCATAGACAGAGTAGAACTGCCCCCAGAGGATTTTCTTAATTGCCAGGTCTTCCTCCTCCCGCAAAGCTGCTGGGTGAATCAAACTGCCAGTCTTGGGGTTGGCAGCTGAGAGCTTAACTGTTGTGCCACCAAGGGTCCTATTTGAATACACCACATTAAAATTGATTACAGACTAGTATACTGAAGCTCACATTTTTTGTGTGTGTGTCTGACCATTATTAAATTTGTCTTCTGCAACTTTCATAATTTTAGAGTTATTTTAACCTAAAAAAACCTAAACCCGTTGTCATCAAGTTGATTCCAACAAAGCAATCCTATAATAGCACAGAGTAGAACTGCCCCATAGGATTTTCAGGGTTGTAAATCTTTACAGGAACAGACTGCGTCATCTTTCTCCTGCAGTGTGGCTGGTGGGTTTGAAATCACTGACTTTCTGGTTAGCAGCCAAATGCTTTAACCATTCTACCACCAGAGCTATGCAGCTACCTTAGGATTCAAATTGAACCATAATTTAAAAAAAAAAAAATTGGTTATTATGTTAATATGGCCCACTTCTAACTTTGGTATTCCAATCCTTCCACTCAGTGGTTCCATTTTTGTTGATCTGCTGTGATTGTGGAGGTGCCCCTGGTGTTGGAGCCGGTTTTGAGCCTGTTCCAGAATGTTCAGATGGAGCAATGCATTCGTGGGCAGTAGAAGGACCGCAGCCTGAACTCAGAGTAAGTGCTGATTTGTAAGAAATGTCCTTTGATAGTCACCCAAACTCAGACTTACACACACGAACCAAGCTGTTAGCACTCAGTTCACCATCTACGCTGCTCATTCTTCTGGAATAGCTGATGAGGAATATGAAGAAGAATCAAAAGTGCATCAACATTAGACAGAAGTAACCAGGGATGACTTCCTAAATGAGGTTCAAGTTTTCAGTGGATTGCAAAACCTTCCTAAATAATATTCTTGTAGAAATTTGTGATAATTTGAGAATAAACTAACTGCATGACTATAGAAATAAAAGAATTGTTACAAATGGTAATATATTTCCTATCTTTCAGGACATGACCACAGTCTGTGTGCCACAGATACTACCTGATAATGCAAATATAATTGAATGTGTTGACAATACAGGTAAGAAAGAATTTTTTCCCTCATTTTAACAACTCAAAGGACTAACAAAATTTCTCTGTTGACTCTCTTTACATACTTTATTTTTTTCAGTGATGTTGCTTTTTTTGAAATAACTAATTATCAAATTAAATAATAAGGAAAAACTACCATCATTATTATTTTAAATGACCTGATTCAGACTTCTATAACCAGAAGAGAAACACTGAAGTGTACCCATAAACGAGTTTTGGTCAAGGCTTTTTGTCTAATAGAACAAATGTCATTTATTTAAAAATAATAATAATAATAATAATAATTGGAATTAAAGTACACCCCAATTAAAATAAGCTTTTGCTTATTTACTGAGGTTTGAATTTGCTTTCTTGTTTCACTTACTAATTCAAAATCACTCTAAATTTAGCTGCTTAATGTGACAAAATAACTACATTCATTCTCTGCATCAGTTTACATGTAGATCTAAAAAAGATTTCTGAAGTTTCTTAAATTACAAGCAGATGAATGCTGTCAAAAAGCTTCTCAGTTGAAGCTTCATGAATGTAGTGGAGTTTCTTCTTACACATGGATAAGGCAGATGGATAATATCTGCCTCAAAAAGAAGTCAAGACCAGTTAATGGGCATTACCCAGGGAACAATTAGAATTTCACAGTAAGTGGATAGCTATGAGTCTATTTCCACCCATAGCAACCCCTCCTTGGGTTTCCCAGGCAGTATCTCTACAGAAGTAGATTACCCAATCTTCCTTCCAAGGAGTAGCTGGTAGATGTGAACCTCTAGCCTTCTGGTTAGCAGTCAAATACCTTAGGCACTACACCACCAGAGCTCCTAATAAAAGAACAATTAAAATAAGTTCTCAGACCTTGGAAAAGTGTTGTACCAACTTAACCTTATTCAGTGTAAATAGATGTTAATTAATTCTTTTGCTTTTCTCTCATTCTTTTTCAAACTAGTAATCATTATTTTTCTAATGGTTGAATCCTTTAAAATGTAGCATACATAGAAATGTTTAAATTTGTAGAATTGAACTCATTCAAAGGATTGCGCAGACTTCTCTTTAAACATATTCTTCCTCTTGTATATATTTTTGTTAATGACACCAGCATGCTCTCACCTCAAAAGCAGAACTCATCATTGACTCTTCTATCTCCCTATTCATTGATCCCCCAGTCAGTTCTCAAGACTTGTCAAATGATCACATCCACCACCATTTACTTATGCATTTTCTCTCATTCAGTGCATAACCTTTGCTGAATATCTGTACCATACAAAGCAATACGAAGGGCAGCAGGGAGTAAAAAAATAAAACCAAACCAGTTACTGTTGACTTGATTCCAATTCATGGTAGCCCCATATGTTTCAAACTAGAACTGCACTCTTTAAGGTTTTCAATGCTGTGGTCAAGCCTTTCTCCCAAGGTAGACTCAAACCACCAATCTTTCAGTTAGTAGCCAAGTGCTTCACAATTTGCACCATCCAGGGACTCCAAGAGGTTTCACAGAAGTTTGAAAAACACACTGTTCCTAAACCCAATGTCCTTAAAATATTGTCAACACTCTCCCTGTCCATGTCACTTCCATAGGTTGGGTCATCATTTTATCTCACATACTCTGAACAGTGTAACCATCTTCTACTCGCCCCCCATACCCAAGTGAAAAATCCAAGATTCTCCATGGAAACCTTTTCCCTCACCATAACCATGGCCTCTTCTTTGAATACCACTGGTGATCATGCCTTCTTTGGCTTCCTAGTAATTCTAATAATCCATTGAGATATTATAATAATTTTTATTTTAACTTTTAGAATCTGAGTATTTCCGCCTAGTTTCCAATACTTTGAAATCAAACTCTCTAAGGAATAAATTTTTTGTCACTTTTGTGTAGTTTTTCACTCTGAGAACAGCATATAATAACCTCCCCATAAAAATTTTCCAAATTAATAACCTGATTAATAGTAGCATTCTGAACTCAATATCACATTTATATCTCCTTTCTTTGTACATCATCTTCACTTTATTTTCTTGTTCTCAAATGTGTACTTAATTGAAGAAACCATACATTAAAAGCTCTGGTAGCATAGTGCCTAAGGCACTTGACTGCTAACTAGAAGGTGGTGGTTCAAACCCACCAGCCACTCCTCGGAAGGAAGGTTGGGCAATCTACTTCCGTAGTGATACTGCCTTGGAAACCCAAGGAGGGGTTGCTATGAATCAGGCCGACTCGATGGCATGTAACAACAATAACAACATACATTAAAATAAGTTACTAATTTTTGTTTACAGTCTACTAGAGCAAGTAAATTTAATTTGATCAATACTTGTAGGAGTTTATACAAATGAGTACTGTGGCAGAGAAATGCAAGATCTAGGAGGAGGAGAAAGAACATCAGGATTTGAAGTAACAAATGGAGTTAAAACATCTGGAGCACCTGAGATATGCCAAGAATATTCTGGAACATTAAGAAGAAATTCTATGAGGGAATGTAGAGAAGGAGGTCTGAATATGAATTTCATGGAAAGCTATTTCTGTCAGGTAAGGTCTCTAGCCATATCCCTTCCTCTTTATCCTCACGCCTACTTCAGGTTCCCACTGTTTCTCAGTGGGACTTTGGTAGGAGTCTCCTACCAAGGTACCAGGCTCTATCTAGTCCTCACCCCTGACAATCCATATGCCTGCTGAATCTCCAAAACTGATCTGAGCACTCTACTCTCTCACTTAAAAAAACTACCAATGGCTCCCAGCTCCACTGTGTCCATGACATGAAGTCTAAGCCCCTAAAGTGGCAGTTAAAGTTACAAATTGACTCCTTCCATCTGCATCTCCAGCTATTCCTCACTGCCAACTCCCTTTGCCAAGTACATTTGCCTTATGCATGCTTGTGTATTCATCTTCATGCCTTTGCTTAGGAGCTGACCCCCTGGGGTGCTTTTATCCCATCATCTCTCTCACAATTTCCTATTCAGCTTTCAAGACCAAGTTCAAAATCACTAGTCTTGAAAGTTTTTACTGTTAAGTCTCTCATCTAAAAGAGGACTAATTTTTCTTTATCCATATTTCTCTAGTACTTTGCTCAAATATCATATAGAACATATCACATTGCTGGCATCTGCTAGTTTATACCACTATTACTACCTCATTCATATGCTTCTAGATTTATAGTGCAGTACTGAGATCAGTTCCAGGCACATCAGCCCAAAGTCATTGCTGTTGAGTCAAATTCTGACTCATCGTGACCCTACAGGATAGAGTTCAACAGCCCCACAAAAATTCCAAGGCTGTAAACCTTTATATGGAAACAAACTACCACATCTTTCTCCCGTGAAGTGGCTGGTGGGTTTGAACCCACCAATCTTTTGGTTAGCAGCCAAGTGATTATCACTGTATCACCGGATAAGCCCTGCTCCTTTCCAGCCACATGGTAAACATTAAATAAGAACAGTTTGATTAATCAATTAGCATTAAATAAATTCAGTAGTCATTGTACATACACTTCCAGAGTATTCCAAGAACCACCTGCAGGTGATGGAAAGAATGTGAACCTGGAGAAGAATCAGTAGTTGAATTAGCTTTGCCATCCCCAGGTACAGACACGATTGTCCATGCTTACATACACCATGTGATCCTCAAGTCTTCTGGAAGCTCCTATCTCTGATGCTAACTGGAAATACATTTCTGACCTTCTATATTCTGACACAAAATACCTTCATTTTCCACCTAATGTTTTACAGACTGGTTGATATTTTGCAAAAAAAAAAAAAAAAAGCAATGAACAGGGTTATATATTGGTCAGATAACAAAAATATTGTAACCAGAGGCTCACAGGAACCTCACCTTATATATGCCTTAAGACTGATGGTTCAGTAGTGACTAGTTCAGTGTTCATGGCAATTTTATACAACATAACTACTGTGAATAATGAAAATCAACTGTATTTGTTTATGGATTATCTGTCTTATCCTAGAATGTAGGCTGTATTAAGAAGGGAAAAATGGTTTTATTCATTACTGCCTAGCCACGCTAAAATAAGTTTGCATAGGACTATCATATCCATTCCTGCAAAAGAAAAAAAACCTAACCTCAAACAATCCCAAATCAATCTTTTATACAGGAAAAAAAACACAAAATTTTTTGTACTTGGACTAGAAAAATAATTCATGTGATTTCTTTATATTTTTGTGTCCAAAGTGTACTATCCAAATAATTTAAAAAAAAAAAAAGTATCCTCAAACTTATAGTTAAAAATAATTTCCAACAAATTATTTCTAGTAATTGTTTAGTAATTTTTTAAATCATGTCTAGTAGATCACAGAATTTAATTTTAAATATTCTTTTCTGGTAATGCTCTGTAAGGAAAATAATGGTAAAGAGTGTTCTATCATTGTTAAATATTTATTCATAACATATTGTCTCTCTTCTCTACAAATTTAGAAAGCATATGCTTATGCAGATGAAGACGAAGGTCGCCCATCCAATGACTGTTTGCTCATATATGATATTGAAGGGGTAGGTTCCCCTGCTGGCTCCGTGGGTTGTTGTAGCTTCATTGGAGAAGACTTAGATGACAGCTTCTTGGATACATTGGGCCCTAAATTTAAGAAACTGGCAGATATCACTCTGGGAAAAGATGTTGAACCCTATCCAGACCTTGATCCTTCATGGCCACCTGAGAGTACTGAACCCATTTGCCCTCAGCAGGGAATAGAGCCCATTATTGGTGGACACCCACCAATCTCACCACATTTTGGTACTACCACAGTGATTTCTGAGAGCACCTATCCCTCGGGACCTGGGGTGCAGCATCCCATGCCTATTCCTGATCCTCTGGGCTATGGCAATGCCACCGTGAAGGAGTCTTACACCACCTCTGGCACTCTGAAGCCCTCTGTCCATGTCCATGATAATCGACATGCCTCAAATGTGGTGGTGACAGAGAGAGTGGTCGGCCCAATTTCTGGGGCTGATTTTCATGGAATATTAGATATGCCTGATCTGAGAGATGGGTCAAATGTTATCGTAACAGAAAGGGTAATAGCACCAAGTTCAAGTCTACCTGTCTCTTTGACCATCCCTGATCCTAGAGAGGCTTCAAATGTGGTAGTGACCGAAAGAGTAATCAGACCAACTTCCAGCATGATGGGCACTCTGGGGATGCACCCTGAGTTATCAAATGCTCACAATGTGATTGTGACAGAGAGGGTCGTTTCTGGTTCTGGCACAGCTGGGATAAGCGGAGGCAGTAGTGGCCTGGTTGGCCTTAGTGCTGGAGGTGGGGGCCTGAGTGGAGCTGGAGTGAGTGGAGGTGGCATGGGGTTAAGCATGGGTGGAGGTGGGGGCCTCAGTAGTAGCATGGGTGGGACTGCCACCATTGGCCATGTGAGGAGCTCCTCTGACCATCACTTTAGCCAAACCCTTGGATCTGCCTCGCCTAGCACAACTCGAAGTAGGATCACAAAGTACAGCACAGTGCAATACACCAAGTAGTTAGGACCTCAGCATACTTTTGGATAGTTATTGTGATTTGTATTCAATTCTCACCACACAAAAAACTAACAATGTTACTTGTGATGCACACTAAGTTCTAAGATAATTGTGAAGAAAGTGAGAAACCAGACTGAGAAGAATAAATGGAAATATTGCTGTGGGGGAGAGGTCTCCTTAGCATTTGTAAATTTATTTTCTTATGTTAATACTAAAGAAATGAGCATGAGGTAAAATGTGAGGCAGGGTATTCTCTGTGCCTGTGTAGCCTGTTGGGTCTTCTTTGCATCTATACGACCTGTATGTAGTGTATCCCCAGCATGAGGAATAAATAAAACACAGTCATGTCAAACACCAGCCTTAAAATTGCCATTGGCATAATTCTCCTTGCTATGTTTTGATTTGCCATATAGCTTGGACAGCATTAAAAAGAACTAAACACACAAGATGTGCTCATGCATGTGGGAAGAATTCGAAGTGCATGCCAGGTACCCCGTCAATTTCATAGACCTCATAAATAAAAAAATCCAACCCCAAATTCAACCAGAGTTACCATAAAAAAAAAAAAAAAAAAAATCTGACTTCATAGTCAAATGCACGATCTACCAAACATTCCTTCTTTAGTAACTGCATTTTTGATATTTGGTGCCATTGAGTCAATTTCATAGTGACCCCATGTGACGCAGTAGGACTGCTTTGTAGGATTTCCTAGGCTGAAAACTTTATGGGAGCAGATCTCTGCGTCTTTTCTCCCACACAAGGGCTCCTTATAATTGTGATAAATAAAATAAATTTCACACTAGGAAAGGTTTCCTGGGAGAGAAATTCATACAAGAGTGGCAATAGGTGAGATTCATTTGAGGTAAACTGGCAATATCTGAGCCCCTTCTTGAGATGGGGCTTCAGCTCAATCTCCTTATGAAGTCAAGAACTTTTCTGATTCTCGTTTGCATTTAATGGTGAATGTAATGTTGCTGAATACTGCATACTGGTGAGGTTGCAGGATATCACACTCATTTTTTCCTTTACCATGGTGGCTCTGATCTAACCTGTCAAGTGCACTTCTCAGATAGAAGCAAGTAACACTAGATATGGTATATTACCTTCCTAGTAAGCAGATGGGAACTGCACTGTATTTTCAGATTGTGGTTTTATTGTTTTTCATTTGAATTCAGTTCTATATTGCTTATCTCCTAAGTTAAAATGATTTATTTAAATGGACCTATTAATACAAGCTTGCAGTATGGATAAGCTTTGAGTAATTTTTTTTAGAAGCTCTAAAAAACCTTTTTAGAATATGCAGAAAATGTTTAATGGGGACAGTTAGAAAAGAATTGTTTGGTAAAGTAATACCATTCTAATTATTATTTTTAATTGCACTTCAGTACTATTTTTTTAAAACAACCCTCTGCTGCCATTTTAAAGAGGTCAACCAGGAACTTTTAACAGAGTTGATGATATTGTGTTGATAAGAATGAAATAATACTAGACAAACCCATTTTTTTAGTCTATTCCACCCCTTAACTGAATTTTTTCACTAGCATATTCCTGATTTAATCTGTCCATAGCACTTAGTTTATATGCAGTCCAATTTACAGTTTCTAAATTATGATATATTTTTCTATCTTCAAAGGTTAGTAATGTCCTATTTATGATGTATCATCTTTGTGTGTTTATAATATAGTATTACCTGGTTAACATCTCTGAAAAGAATCGGGACAGTTTTAGAGAAAGATAAATTTACTACTACATAGTAGAAAAACGTTCCCTCTTTTTAAAATTCAATGTTAATATGATCTGGTTTCACTAAAGTGAAAATGAATGTGGCAAAATAAAACTAGAAATAAAGAAACTCTGGCCCTGGATTTGCGAATAACATACAACTTTTTATGGATTTTTTCCCCCATTACTCACATTTCCCAGGATGTTATGAGATCTAAGAATAGTTATTTAATTTCAAACATTTGTCAAAGGAGGTGGAGGTGTGTGAGTTATTTTACTTATAGCTAGTTTGCTCTCTGTAATAACAGATGAGGTCAGTATTCTAAAAGCCACAATATCCATCTTATTTTAACTCTGTAGGATATGTAAAATTTTGATAGTTTGTAAAATGAAAAATTGCAGAGGTGTAAATAAAGTCATTCAAAGGGAATCTTCTCTCTCTTTTTTTTAATGTCTTTCTTTCTTTCTGGGATTTCATTAATGATGGGTAATGTTTCTAGAAATAAAGTCAAAATGTATTTATTGAAATGTTCTTGAGTGTGCCTGTGTCCAAGAATTTGATGGAATAAAAATAATTATTAACTAATTAATTGAAGGTAATGGTATCTGACCATAGAGAATTTATTTGTCACTTTGATATGACATATCCTCAGAAATCTTAAGATAATTTATGTCATCCAGAGATTATTTTTCAGGTTGTCTTACAAATGCTAGAGTACCATCTTTAATAACTATTTTCATTATAAATCCCCTAGTTACATAAAATCATGGCAGATACAATTTTTTAAAAAATGGCAGCAATAATCATTAATGTTTATAGGAATATATTTTCAGATCAAAATCGTTTTTTTTTCATGATTGTATATTGATATTCTAGCTATTTAATCTTAAATCCAAAAATGTTGATGTTAAGACATCAACCATTCTAACAGGCATGTTCTATTTTTCAATAAACAGCTTTTGTGCAGAATTTCATTCTTCTCCTTTGATAATTTACCCTAATTGGTATACACCATTTTATGGACCTAAAAATGACATGGAAACTATTTCATAAGTAGATAACTATAATTCAAACCTGTACTGAAAGCTGAATTTCAAATCAACTTGCTTTTATACAAAAGCGATAAAGAAGAGATAGTAATTGAATGTTATGTATAAACGATTTGAAAACAAAGTATTTAATAGCTTATAAAACTATTTGATGTTCTAACGAGGTAATCCCTAGTGGAAAAAGTCAGTGCATCATAAAGTGCTTTTATTATAATTTAATATCAACCAAAATGTCACCTTGACCCAGTTCTGACCTTGAATTCTAGATATATCTGCTAGTTATTGTTAGCTTCTATACATGTTGCCTGATGTAACCGTATTTGCATTAAAAAAATTACGTAAAAAGTGTCGATTTAGGATCATTTATATGCCTTTATCTGGACAATTGTTCAACATTTGTGTATAAAGTTTTTAGCACTGTAATTTTTACCCAGTTAAATGTTCTGAAAGAAATTTAATTATATATATATTCAAAAATTACATTTCCTCTCTGTTCAGTGGACTGGTTTTTTTTAGTTATCTACACAATTAATGTTTAAAGTTACACCAAAATTTTATTGTCAGCCAAAGTATAACACATATATAACACTTTAGCAGAGATTCAATGGTCTGTTACAAACATGGCCAAAATGACATAGCTATTTGGGAAGGATCTTTGAAACCCAAAACAAACTTAGAAAAACTTCTGCTGCGTTTTTTCATGTGTGTTTAATAGATTCCAAATTTATTTGTGATTTCTGGTATATTTAAGTCTTCCTTTCCATTGCACTAGAACTCATTTGTCTATGGTAGATTCCAAGCACACATGAAATAGTTCTAAACTGTTTGATTCATTTTAGGACAAAAGCTTTAATGGTTCAATCTACTATTCATCAAATAACTTTAAAGCATTGAATAATCTATCATTTAATTGTCTCTACTCTCCTCACTTGGTTGTATACGTATAAAAATATCCGTTTTTATCCTCAAACTGTTCCTCATCTAACTGATTTTTCTTTTACTGTCTGTTTCACAAACATTTTTAAACTCCAGTATTCATTTTGGATGATGTTTAAACAAGGCGCTCTCCCTCAGGTTTCAGTCTAAAAGTGTTCAGATTATTTGGGTATTCTTCCTTGCTTTGTCATTGAGCTACTTTAAGTCAGTTTGTAATTTCCAAAGAGTTATGTTTACAGCAATAAAATGATTCATATGCCTCCATTATCTTTTCTTTTTTCAAAAAAGCATTTTATTATGTTTAAGATGAAAGTTTACATAGCATAGATGGTGCCCGGCAACCAATGCCAATCACTCAGGAAAGGATCAAATCTGGAGATCCTGGATATAGTGGGAGGAAAAAAAAGGAACAAAATCCAAAAACTCAATAATGACCAGAATTACTGGTCGGATGGAATCTGGTGAGACCCCCAATACTACGGCCCTGGGATACATTCTGGGACTGGAATAAAAGTCACTCCCAGGGGCTGGCTCTCAGCCCAATAGTTAACAAAATGTACATGCAGATCACTCAACCCACGGTGACACAGCCACATACTCATAGGAAATACATCCCTTGGAGCAATCAACCATGGGGCACCAGAGGGGCAACAATCAAAGGAAGAAAATGCAGGACACACAAGAGTGCATAACTATGAGGGGCATGGGGTGGGGATTGTTACTGGGCAAGGAGGGGTGGAGACTGGGTTAGGGCTGGACGTGGTAAGAAAGTTTACACAGCAAATTAGTTCCTCATTCAATAATTAATACACAAATTGTTGCATGACATTGGTTGCTATGCCTTCAGTGTGTTCACAGCCTTCATATTTTCACCCTGGATTCCCTGTTTCCATCCTTCCAGTTTCCCTGCTCTTTCTTGCCTTTTTATCTTTGCTTTTGAGCAAATGTTGACCATTTGCTCTTGTATAGTTGATTGTTCTAAGGAACGTATTTCTCACAAGTGTATTGTTTATTTTATAGGTTGAAAGGTGATCTTCTGAAGTGGCTTCAGTTCCAGGTTAAAAGGGTTTCCTGAGGGTTACTCCAGTCCCTATTAGTCCAGTAAATCTAGTCATTTTTATAAATTTGAGTTTCGTTCTACATTTTTCTCCCATTCTAACGTGGACCTTCCATTGTGTCCCTGGTCAGAGCTGTCAGTAGTGGTAGCTGGGCACCAACTAGTTCTTCTGGTCACAGGCTAGAGGAGACTACAGTTCATGTGGGCCATTAGCCCTGTGAACTAATTGCTTCCTTGA